CAATTTAATAAATCAGTTAAGTGTATTGCACGCAGAATGTAGGTAAAATAATTGCAAGAATTTCACGATTGTATCCTACATATCTCAACGGCAAAGGAAGGCTACGTCGATTTGGTAACCTAAACAACATTAATATCGTTTTGCATGAAATGAGTAAGTCTTTTCCGTAGTTCGATAAAAATTTGAACGAAATTTCTACATCTGGTTATTTCAAGTTTTTAATAGATTCTTAAGAGACGCTCTTAAATCTCCAACAAGAATTTATCGTTTGTAGAAAAGTTCGGAAACGAACCTACTTTTAACAACCACCCTTATCGTTTAATTAAAACAATACGAAGAAAGATGTTTTGTTCCGCGGTATAGAGGGTGTCTCACTATGATCACTGTAAAAACACGATACAGTTTACTGTATTTATTCTCCCCAATTATCCGTCAGCTCGTAAACAAAATGAACAATTTTTGGCTCGTTTTTATAGTCGCCGCTGTAAAAACGAGGTGTAACGTTGGAATAATCGTATCTCCCCTTCCCAAATTGTCCATTTTTATTTACGAGCTGAAGGACAATTGGAGAGAATTTATTGTATTTGATTCGAGGAGCCAAGGCTTAACCCTTATTAATTAATGATATCATTAGCCACTAAGCTGATAAGGAAGAACCACATTTCCTCAAGGTTAATTTTGTCGAAATTTCAAGGTCGTCGTAGTTCTTTTAAATGATACTATATACCTCTAATGTTTCCATCGCGATACGACAATTGAAACGAAGGCGAATCCAATGTCCTGTAATAGGATTATGATCTTCGATCGGCCATGAATACTTCATAATCGTTACAAAGCGGATGAAAATAGTGAAGCAATGAATGTGATTGACAGATTAAAAAATGAAGAATTGTTTTATTGCAACAAATGTTCAAGATAACGTTCATTAATACATTTTTCTAAACAACTTACGAATGATTCACGCATTTAATGTGTTACTGAAATGTTACCCTAAACAGCTCGTTTAATGTAAATGAAATTATAATTCGAATATTTACAGAGAACATTGTGACGACTTTCAAATTTCGAAGAAAATGACTTTGAGAATATATCTTGCCCGATGTAGGTACACTGTATTCATATTTAAATGGTCCATATAACCTTCCTTTATCCGAGAGATGGATCGAATACGCTTCTTTAGTTCGTACACGTATTTCTATTACACTTTGCGCAAGAATTCTATGTAGATGAATGTAAATCTTTCCCGTATGTTTCAATTTCATCAATTTTACGGATTTCCTGAGACACGCTAGCTTATAGATGAAGTATGGTAACCATATACAGTATATATAGGGTGAGACACAAAGTCTTCACGATTTTTCAGCTTCTTCCGTTGGTCTGACAAAAAAGTGTTTCTTATCGCAGTTAATTAATATTTAACCGACAAGAAATTGCAATTGCTTAAATTTGAAAACAAATTGATTTTCGATGAGAATACAAGGTTACCGTTATATTTTAAAATGAAACTAGGTAACCTCAACTTCATAGTATTGTAGGCGACGTCTGTCCTGCTACATAACGAACTTCGGATAACATTGAAGGAAAAATTGCCATGAATCGATTGCCACAATATTTGAAATAATTTAGAGACACGTAATAATAAATATTTTGGAGATACATAACACATCAAAGCCTCGCCTGTAAACATAAACAAACGAACGTAAACATCACAAAAATGCTTATGTATATCCAATTTCAGATTTTAATATATAAAACAGAAGACAAATTTCATATAAAATCAAATTCAATAGGAAGCATTTTTTTGTCAGATCATCGGAAGCTGAAAAATCGTGGGCCTTCATTTGTGACTCACCCCGTATAAATTATACTATATGCACACGTGTCATATAGTATATGCGTATATTAATAAACAATATATATAAATGATCAACAGAAACATTTGATATAGCGAATTTTGATTGCGCATTGTTGTAACAAATATTTAACCCTTTTGCAAATTAGCGTAACGACAGCATCAGTGACAGCATCCGCAAATAGCAAACTATTTAGTCTGTCTTTCTCGGAAATAGTCGCATTCTTTCACGTAAAACACGTATTAACCTTTTTTATCTGATCATAGAACAAACATTGATACTATGGGTTTTATAGCGGCTCAATTGGAAATTTTTTGAGTTAAGATAACACGGTCTAAGGAGAGCTTCAAGATGATTGTAACAAATTTCTTGTTAACACATTTTTCCCCGGAGTTATCAAGGTCACCTTCAGTTTTTTGTAGGTAAACCTACAAATTTTTGTACCCATCTTTTAAGGGATGCCGAAACGAATTCCACGAGCATCATAACGTATAGTTCCTTTCCGAATCAAAAACGATTAACCCGAGAAAGATAACCTACGTCGCAGAGGCGCCTGCGAAGACTGTTGATTTTTGTTAATTTTTCATAGAGGTCTAGTGATTTAAGTTTAAAATTACTTAAAATATAAAAAAATATAATATAAATGCATTTTATTTTTACAATAATGCCAAACCTTTAAAATGACTAGATTAACTTAAATAAATATCCATTGTTAGTATAAAATTGACGCCTTAGAAAAGCATGCGCCTCTGAAGCGTATGGTTATCTTTTACGTACGTTGTCATATGGTTATCTTTCTAGGGTTAAAGAAGACTCTTAGTTGGAAAAATTTAGTAAGTACAGTATTTGTGAATGGAAAACACATTATTCGCTCTCACATGACCCTACAAAGCATAATCATGCACCAGAAACAGCATGATTTCAAGGTAGCCCTTGGAGCCATTGAAAGAGATTGCAATTTCTACACGCGTTCGTTGTATCTCGGCCAACTGCAAAAGGGTTAAGGCTACTATACATACTACTTTTGAACGGGGTACAAGGAACTAACAGAGTTCATTATAAAAGTTGCTGCTCAATTCGTGTAATGTCGATGTAGATAGTGTTTTTGTATGGTTGCGAATGTTGGTATTGTAGGCAATTATTTTCATCGTCGAAAGATTGGAACGAACCAAGCTAATATCGAACGTAATATCTGTAACGTTGTTGAAACGAAGACCTTTTCGACGAAGACGAAAACTTTTCCTGACGAACCGTCATTTGATTCAGTACTCTTTCTCAGTATCATTTCTATGACGCACTGTCCGGATGTTTGTGTAACCTATTTTCGAAGACAAACGCGAATCGAAACGAGCCACAGGTAATATATATATATTCGTCCGTTCTAACATTAAAGGTCGCAAGTTACGATGAATAATCGGAGAATGTTGGCGAATCGCTGTAAATATGGAAAGTTTGATCTTCATTGGGCAACATGTTAACATCCATCTTATGAGATACCACTTTGTCGAAGATGCAACTGATTGTTCCCACGCGTACCTTACGCTCCGGATCGCCCGACTCGAAACACAATTACAAAAAATAAGAATTAGATAATCTTCTTTGTACATCAACGAATATTCTATTATGTATCCTCGCAGTATAAAAATTGATGTACTTAAATGAAAGTAGGTTTGATGCCCTTCACGAGTGAACAAATTTGTCTAACAAATAGAAATAGTTAAAATCATTTTGTCAGAGAACAACGATTGATAGTAATATCCTGTCAAGTTAGAGAATTATTGCGAGTGCGTAAACGGAATTACCGTAATTATAGCAGTACGCTATTGCATCGAGTCACTACCAAAACAAGATGCAGTCGGTTTACGAAGTATTCGTACGTCTTTTAGGACGAAATAACGTTTCTATAATTGGGCGAAGCAATCTAAATTGTTTAAAAATTATTAGAGGGATCAGTTCGCTAGACGATGGCTAAAAAATTGTTTTCAAAAATTGCAATCGATCGGCATGATAAAAGAATTAAAAAATAATGTTTGCTCAACTTATTCGCATTTTTTAAATATTCGTCATAATCTCGAATAAAAATGTTGAGGAAACTTCATTTTTGAATTCTTTGATCAATCCCTCTAACATCTCAAGAAAAAAAATTTAAATCGCTTGGCCCAATTACAAAAACGTTATTCTGTTTTAAAAGGTGTTGAATACTTTGTACACCGATTGTACGTGTGGATATAATTTCAAAATGTACTTTAAACGATCAACGAGCTCGACTCATAATAATATTTTGCATATTGATAATAAATATTTTTCTCTAGTATCCGCAAACCCTGACAAAAAGTTCATGATGAAATATGAGTGCGTCGCATGTATACGTGTTTGTTATTGTTATATTACTATTTTTCACGTTAAATACTGTAATATGATGCCCTCATTGGGCCCTCATCACCGTAATTCTATTTCAACCTTAAATTGTTTTAGCCGTTTCGAGAGGATTACCTTAAAAAGCTACCGTTAACTTCGTTACGAAAACATTGTATACCGCTGAAACTTTAGTCACACAATATTCTCAGATCATGAATTTATGTGAAAACGAAAAGGTGATTGTGTTCTCTACCGATAAACCGGAGAATGCTTCGACCGTTATGAGATCGATGAATTGATTTCAGTTCTGGCTTCTGGCCATGCTCCGGGATGAAATTTCTGGAGATACGTGTAAATTCTTTCAAATATAAAATTACCGAAATAACAGAACAAATACAACGCGATGATCTATCGATTATACATCCGATACTTGTACACATCTTTTTACGACGATACGTTCGACGTAACGTTTAACATAACGCTCTTTTCCCGTTTCCGAAACGATCTATACACCAGCAAGAGCAGCTGTCCAAGAAAAAAATTCCTGATTTCAGAAACATAGTCAGTCCAATAAATTCAAGTTCACAGTTTGCTTACTGTCGTATACGATCAGAAACTGATTGTCAGAGTTTGTACCTTGTGCCGGACTAGTTAGAAAATTTAATGAAACACATCGATCACCTGATCAGAATCGCTGGAAATCGATTTCCGACTTCGATTTCGGCAATTATCGCTGAAAACAGACGGACTAGACGCGTCCTTTGTTTCCGACACCTCGTGGACCGTCGAGAGTTTACGGTCTTCTTTGTTATCGTTATACACCTCCACCGCGATTTCACGATTTCTCTCCTGACACTCTAGACAGGGAGGGAGGTGTATGAGAGAGACCTAGCTAACCGAGGTCTCCTCGACAGATGGGCTCGCCAGTGCTTGTGTCTCACCGTTCGCATGTTTCATCTCGTCCTGGCCAGGACGCGATGGCGGTGGACTACTGCGAGAACAAGAGGTCATGCTCTGCATTGTCTGGCTGCGACCACCGGAAAATCGCATACTGTATACGACACGGTTGCCGCTTTGTAGTGCACCCGTCTGAAACAAATGATTTGGCTTTTGGCTATACTGAATACGAATGCAAAGTAGGGATCTGGCCTAATCCAGGAAGATCCAGGCTGGTCTAAACATTCCTTCCGAATGCATTATGTACAAACAATACCCGGAATTGCTAATTCTACGGTCTCGAAGCAATTTTTTTCTACGTAATTAGGCAACACCGTATTCAGATGCGACGCTGTGTTCGACCGCGATCCATCATAATCATTGCGTTCTGCGATTTTGATGATAGCTTCCGAGCAAAGAATTCGTCTTATTCGTTTTATATTGAACGCTTGCGACGGTTTTCAGTGACTCTACGTTCGCGAAACGCGCCGTAAACAGTGTTTACGGGAGAATAAGTTACGCAAGCAGTGGGTTAGGTGACGCATGCGCCGAGAGTCTCGCGCAGCAGCGCGGCGCGCCCACAGGCTCTGGCACCTATTGTATTTTATTGTACCGTTATCTTGTATTTACTGTTCGAGTTTGTGCGACGCTGTGCGGGATTCCCAGCGCATGCGTCACCTATTCTACTCCGTGCGTAACTTATTCTCGTGTGAACACTGTTCGTAACTGGCGATGAAATATGGGTTTACGAGTACGACATGCAAACGAGGCACAACCTCGAGATATCGCTTCAAAATATTTTAAGCTTAGGCATGCCGCGGAAACATTTTCTACGTAATTCTTGCGTTTGCGTATTCAAAGATTTTAATAATATAAATATTATTTTCATTGTACTAAATTATATCCTTCTGCCGTAGCGAGAACTTCTACTTACGTTGGCGTGTCCAGGTCGAACATTTTTGTACGGTTGGAACAGTACTAGATAAACTTTCGGTGTGAAGAGGCAACCGAGTGCCACCGATGCAGAGATGTTGATGCACATGCACATACTTGCTATCTGTACCTATAAAATCGATATCATGTATTCCTTATTTATAAGAGAGCGTATGTTTTACAAGAGATTATTTATTCACCGAATATTCTATGCGGCGTGTCCCAGAACACCCGTTACATACGGAAAGGTGTGATCCCTGAGGTGATTCGAATTAACCTTTCCTTAGCAAAAATGTTCCCCGTGGATTCGATAACGTGTTATCATCGAAAAAATACGGGCCAATCAAAGAGCAAGTACGACCGATGTCCCGCCCTTGCGGCCTCTGACACGTCCCCCACTCTACTTCGCCGGAACTCGTCGTACTCGCTCTCTGATTGGTTCGCGTGTTTCGTGAATAACCCGTCGACGAAGTCGCGGAGAACAGTTTCGCAAAGGAAGAAGATACTTCGTGTCACGTCAGCCCTTCGAATCCAGCCATTTACGGGTGTAACGGGCGTTGCGGAATATATTATTATTATGTATATTAATAACCTATTTCGAATATTTATTATTTGTGCCATAATATGACAGAACGTGTCACGTAAAAGTGCTTAATAGAATGTCAAAGTGCTTAATAAAATATAGCTATTAAAATAGCTATAAACACAGACCTTGTAGTCGTTGTTCGAGCCAAAATAGATCGGTACGAAAGCTAACCACACGATGCAGGTCGAATACATTGTAAAACCAATGTATTTCGCTTCGTTGAAGTTCTCCGGGATTTTTCGTGTTTTGAATGCGTACAAAGTACACATCAGTATTAGAAACATGTTGTACACAAGGGACATCATCAGAGAGAACGTCGAGACACGGCATGTAAGTACTGCCGATAACGGGTAAGGATGGATTTCCGTGGTGTTCGGTGGTTCGATAATGAGCCACACGATAGCACCTACTAATTGCACTGCAGTGATCCCTATAAAAACGGGAATTACATAATATGATATCAAGATCAAGCCTTTAACCCTGCGTTAGGCGCGTGGGCCGCATGTACGCATGAATTCATCGCTCTGTAGTAGAATTCCATGCAGCGAAGCACATCGAAATTTGTTTTATCGCGTCATCGCGTTATTTGCATTTTTCAACTATGAAGATTCACTGTTTTAAACGAGTGTCACACGTGTCTCATACGTTTCGAAATGTTGGTGAAATCACCGTGTCTAACGCAGGGTCAAACATAAATCGTAGAAAAACATTTACAATATGTTTTTCTTTGGAAATATTTGTATCGAGGAATCGTTCCTCAAATAGTTTCGATTTAGCGATATTTACAAAATCAAAAATATATTCAAACGATTTATACGCGGTTTCAATAAACTGTATTTAATTGTATTATACGTATCTACACACACCCATGCGTAGATCTCCTTTGAAAATTGCAAACTCACCAATTGCGATCACAACTTGGCTTTTGGGCGACGTGTAAGCAGGTCTTTTTATACTCTTTGTTTCCTGATTGAAAATGCGCGATATTCGATTTGTCTTAGTCAATATCGCGCTGTAACAGATGCTCAAACATAGACCCAAACCGATTCTCAGATATGTACAATTCCACGTTGTTGGCTTGCTTAATATCACGAAACTCATACCATAGCATGAGAGAATTCCTACCAACAATACGTAACATAACTCGCGTCCTGATGCCATAATTACAGGGGTACGATTATAACTGGAACATAATTTCATATAAAATTAATCGAATCGTTGAGTGGCAACGTATTGGGTTATCAATAAATATTCACTTGTAAATTCTTTTTAGTACAGCTATTGCAGATGGGGAGGTGATGAAGATAAATCTGGGAATTTAGTGTCTGTTTCTTTTTCTGGTTATGTTTTTGAGAGAATTGTTTCCGAATATTTGCGAATACGTGTATTATCGAATATTATAATCGGTTACATTTACTGTAAATATTAATAACTGCAAACTTGTGTGTGCTAAGTCTACAGGATGGATTTCCTGGAAAACGAAGACTTATTTCAAATCATTTTTGTTCTACAGGGTGTCCCAAAGGTCACTTTTAATTGGGAAATAAGGGATTCCTGAGGTCATTTCAAGTAACTTTTTCCTTAGCGAAAATGCAATCCGCGGCTTTGTTTACGAGTTATTAACGAAAAATACTGATCAATGAGAGGCGAGCACGGCTGGCTGAACGGACGAAGCCCAGTTCCGCTCATTGGCTCGGCTGCCTCACGCTAGCCGATCTCACCGCTCATTGGTCCGTGTTTTTCCTTAATAACTCGCAAACAAAGCCGCGGATTGCATTTGCGCCAAGGAAAAAGTTACTTCAATTGACCTGAGGAATTCCTCATTTCCCGATTGCGAGTGACTTTTGGGACATTCCGTATACTTTCATTTATTTCGTATACCCATTTTCAGTTGCAATATCAAATTGGAAACACCCGGTACATGTATTTCAAGTTTTTCAAACAACATGAAAATACATACTCTTGTAGATCTAAAATATTTTCCTTGTTTTTAATGGTACAACAAAATGTCCAAAGAAACAGGTGTTCATTTCAGTTCGAAGTTCATTTCACTTGTTAAAGTAGAAAAGATTTCGTAGCGTCATGTTTCCCGATATTATATGATCTTCTACGTGTCGGTCGTTTGGAGATTAACATCTATAGTTCAATTTATCTTTTTATTAGCTGTAACGTTGCACTAACAAAATACGTTGTCCTATTTAAAAAAAAGAACGTCGTCGGCTTGAAATTTTTTAATATACTATTTTCAGAAAGAAATCTTCGTTACTAGAATTGCTCTTGCGAGACGAACATTCCTTGTTATATATATATATATCTGTCTCTTATACACATCTAGATGTGCATAAGAGACAGATATACTACTATATACTACTACTATATATATATATATATATATATATAGAGAGAGAGAGAGAGAGAGAGAGAGTATAACAAAATACGTTATTTAGTATATAGTAGTATATCTGTCTCTTATACACATCTAGATGTGCATAAGAGACAGATATACTACTATATACTACTACTATATATATATATATATATATATATAGAGAGAGAGAGAGAGAGAGAGAGAGTATAACAAAATACGTTATTTAGTATATAGTAGTATATCTGTCTCTTATACACATCTAGATGTGCATAAGAGACAGATATACTACTATATACTACTACTATATATATATATATATATATATATAGAGAGAGAGAGAGAGAGAGAGAGAGTATAACAAAATACGTTATTTAGTATATAGTAGTATATCTGTCTCTTATACACATCTAGATGTGCATAAGAGACAGATATACTACTATATACTACTACTATATATATATATATATATATATATAGAGAGAGAGAGAGAGAGAGAGAGAGTATAACAAAATACGTTATTTAGTATATAGTAGTATATCTGTCTCTTATACACATCTAGATGTGCATAAGAGACAGATATACTACTATATACTACTACTATATATATATATATATATATATATAGAGAGAGAGAGAGAGAGAGAGAGAGTATAACAAAATACGTTATTTAGTATATAGTAGTATATCTGTCTCTTATACACATCTAGATGTGCATAAGAGACAGATATACTACTATATACTACTACTATATATATATATATATATATATATAGAGAGAGAGAGAGAGAGAGAGAGAGTATAACAAAATACGTTATTTAGTATATAGTAGTATATCTGTCTCTTATACACATCTAGATGTGCATAAGAGACAGATATACTACTATATACTACTACTATATATATATATATATATATATATAGAGAGAGAGAGAGAGAGAGAGAGAGTATAACAAAATACGTTATTTAGTATATAGTAGTATATCTGTCTCTTATACACATCTAGATGTGCATAAGAGACAGATATACTACTATATACTACTACTATATATATATATATATATATATATAGAGAGAGAGAGAGAGAGAGAGAGAGTATAACAAAATACGTTATTTAGTATATAGTAGTATATCTGTCTCTTATACACATCTAGATGTGCATAAGAGACAGATATACTACTATATACTACTACTATATATATATATATATATATATATAGAGAGAGAGAGAGAGAGAGAGAGAGTATAACAAAATACGTTATTTAGTATATAGTAGTATATCTGTCTCTTATACACATCTAGATGTGTATAAGAGACAGGTATATAGTATTATATAGTAGTATATAGTATTTTGTATATATATATATATATAGAGAGAGAGAGAGAGAGAGAGAGATCAATATAATGTTATATATATGTTATATATATTTTCTCGTATCATAAAAAACAACGTCTTATCGTCTAGCATAATGTATGAACCTATATGTCGGAACCTACCGAATGAATACGATCGTGGTAAACAAAGTGCTGAGTATGCCAATGGAGGCAAATATTAATGGCACTAATGCCCATGGACTGGACCACGGAATGACTTCGGCTGTGAGTTTCACACAATTTGTCATAGTCTCATCTGGCGCATAGCCGGGACCACAGCTGCGACAAGTGTCATTGAAAACGTAAGAGTCTTCTCGGCATGCAACGCAATTCCAGCAACAGGCATCCTGAAAATTGTATGCTCGTTTTTCGGTGTTCGTCATTTAATAGCAAATGAGATATTGATTTCATCCGGATCAATCTGGATGATATGATTAAATGTTACGTTAACTTTCTAATAACATTTAATACTTATACATTAGCAGTTTTCTGATAGTTCATTTAAAATCGATGATCAAGAGTTAAGAATTTCTGAAAACATTGTTTGAAAACTACCATAATTTCGTGCATAATCCATCAAATTGTTTAGATCAATGTAATGTGAGAAGCATTTTTGAGATTATTGTTTAAAAGAAAATTAGCTTTCAGCTTCTCATAAACGCGGTTCAGGCATTGAAGCACTTATTAATAGGCTTCCGATAAATAAAGTGTTAAAATAAGCAACAATAACATGTAGGATATTCGTTTGCAAGAATAGATGCAACTAACAAATCTCTGCAACGAATATTTCAGACGTGTAATTTTGAATACGCGTTTTGTCATGGATTTTTATACGTTTGTTACGTGTCTTAACAATATTTTCATTTGTCATCTGTAGCTTTCGAAGGAACTATTTTTAAAGAACGCAAACTTTCATTTTGAAGTTGTCACGTGTTTCGACAGTGTCAGTCCAACGGTTGTTTCTTATAAAAAATGATTACGTGTAGTCTTCGGAATACGAGAACGTAATTTAATACTGCAATTTGGATTTACGAACATGTTTCATCAACGATCAAAGTGGAAAGTACACCAAAATCTAAATCTTCGGGATTTTTTAAAACTGCAAATTCAAATTCCAATGTCTCGTGTAACTTTTAAATTTATTTCAATATCGCATTATAAGAAATTCATAGTTCGTTTTAATATGGAATTTTGATTTACCTGGAAATTGCGTACATGACCGAAAGGACAATTATCACTGCATAAACTTCGAGGAATGTACGCTTCACCAGCCCCCATTGCCCATTTCGTCATGTTGACATAAAGTTGTAATCTAAATAGGAGGTTTCATAATGAAAATTAAACGATGCATTCATACGACATATATCTCCTGTATTTTGCACTTTCAGTGACATTATGTAGTTTTTAAATACAACTTTTTCTAAATATAAAATGCTTTTAAATTTGAATCTGAAGTAGTAACTACGAATCTACAGAGTATCCCAAAATTATGTTACTTCCGGGAAATGACGGGTTCTTGAGGTCATTTCAAGTAACTTTTTCCTTAGCGAAAATGCAATCCGCGGCTTCGTTTACGAGTTATCAACGAAAAACAGTGACCAATGAGAGGCGACCAACTCGGCTGCATTACGTCAGCCGAGCTTGTCTCTCATTGGCCAGCGTTTTTCGTTAATAATTCGTGAACAAAGTCGTTACTTCAAATATCCTCAAGAACTCCTCATTTCCCAGAAGTAATATAATTTTGGGACACCCTGTATAAGATAATAATAATTTTAATAATAATAATAATATATATAATATATATATATATAATAATAATAATATATATAATATATATATATAATAATAATAATATATATAATATATATATATATATATATATATATATATAATAATAATAATAACCCAATTGAAAAGTGGCTGTCGACTTTATTACTATAAAAAAAAATTAGCAACATATTCATATCCAGATATTTTATGCCATTTTAGACTATAGGGATTTAGAGGGACTTACACTTCTTTCCATGTGCCGATAAGAACGTAATCGAATGTATCGTCTTTGTTTCTCTGGTATTGATATATGTTATAAAATCCATACGCGTCACCATCTGCTTTGAATTTAATTTCTGTACCTCGGCGACCTAAGGAACATTTTCATGGAATAAGTATCGTTTCTGTTAGCGAGCATTTTATAAATTTTTATCGATCAATTTACATGCGATTAAATCAAAAAAATTATCAGTCGTTCAATTAACTGTATTAAACTTGTAAATTACAACAATAATTTCTTCTCTGTTAATCAATTATGTTTGAATTCCTTTATTCTGCATATACAGTGTAAACCGAAAACAATTGTATCTTTATCTTTATCCAGTATTTGCGTGTAATGTAACAATGCAATTACTAATAGGGGAATGTTTTTTAATACTTTTATGAGTTTCAATGCATACAGCACATTAAAGTTGATACGGTCATTTACATAATTATATAGCTTAATTGTTTAATAGCGCCGATGTAAAACCAGCTGTACCTGCGAAATTTTTTGAAATAATAGTGTAAATGATGCATAATAATTTTATCTGATTGTTTTTCGAGTTCTAGTAATAATCGTTATTGTTCGATGATAATCGTAGCCGTATACAGGGTGTCTTGTTTAAGCGACATGTATGTCACATGTCAATGACATGTGGAAGGATAAAAAATTATTCAACTAATCAGTGAAAATTACAATCGATAATTTATGGCATTAGCAATAATCCTCAATCCCTGTTTATAATATCATAATTGCAGTAACAACGGCTGCTAGATGTTGGTCGTCGACCAATGCAGAACGTAAACATAATCTAACCATTTACCTTTATCGAACTCAGAATAATATCTTACAGCACCTTTTTGGATTTCTCTCAGTGCCTGCTGTAATTTTCTGAAGACAAAAATATAGCCTTCCATTTAAGAAAATTAGACTGACCTTCGGATCTTCTGTATTACTCTATTCACAAGAAAACAATTAATACTACATGGTGTAGTCGATCCTACCAAATAACTTTTATACGAACATTTTTTTAATAACTATGATTCTTTCTGAGAGATCTTTCTATATTCGTTTAAACAAGACACCCCCTGTACAGTCGTTCGCAAAAGTAATGATGCACTTTTCTGATTTTCGAGAGATTGCCGACAAGGAAGAATCGGGAACTTGAAGCCGCCACTTTCGTCGCTCATCGTTCATTTTCTTGTAACATGTTTGCATAATGTAGCGGGTGGGAAACTAAAGATACGGATTTTCTCGGAAATGCTGAAAAATGAACCTTCCCTAAGAACATTGGAAGCATTTTTAACAGAAATTTTGTATGCGACCGAAAAGGGAAATTTAAGGAAATTTTTTTTTTGGTCGTCTTATGGAACAGGAACGAGGAACAAGTTCGGCCGTGTAAAGAGTCTTAAACTTATTTATTTAAATTTATAAACTTATATTGCTGTGAAGTGGACAGTATACCTTTCATTCGATGTTCACTAATGTTATAAATTGTTATATATAAGAAACAATAGTAGTCTTTAAACATATAAATTGCCATCGATGCAAATGTAATAATAATCGGATTAATCATAATTACAAGCACTAACCGATAAAGCTAACATTCCGAATGTATTGAAGAAGTTGTTGGCCATCCGGAGCTGGACGAAGTTTCTCACACAATTCGTGTACTGTTTCGTTCACACATTCTTCCTGAATTAAATTATGCACGCCATGCGCCATCGCAGATACTGCATCAACTATACAAAATTAAATATAGTATATTTTATATATGCATATGTACATTTTAAGTACAGTATAGTTTATCGACATATGCAAGCATCTCGAAAGTCGTGTTAACGAATGTAAATTTAAAATAGCAACGAATGACCTAACCCAGACCTTGAATGACATGACCAGCGTATTGTGAACGAATATATGGTGAATAAAAACAGATGGTACCATTTTAAAAAAGCAAAGTCCACCAGGGTGACAGGTATGTAGCAGAGTTGTGCCTTGTTTCGAATAAATATTTATCTAAAATAATTTGTTCGAATGAATTCATTTTAGTCGAATATTTTATTCGAATAACAATTATTCATTATTCGTAACGAATTATATTCTGTCAGTTTATTCGAATAGAGATTGCAAAATTATTCGAATAATAATGACCATAATTGTTGACCGTTTTCTTTTTACGTAATTTGTTAAGCATACATATGTATACATACATATCTAAATATGAATTCTGGAATGTACAATCACTTACTTTGCACTCGAAGAAACGTTATTTAGTTATACATCGGTGATCAATCTACCCGAAAATAACAAACTTGCCGACGCAGCGGTTGTAAAAAGGAATGTTAATTGTACAAATTAAAGCGGAAGATGTCTCGAATCATTGAATATATCGGCTATATTTATTTCTACAGCTTTTGTAGTTCCGAGTAGTCTCTGATTATTTTGTCGTCTGTGATGAAAAAACTCAATCGACAACAAGATATTTGATTGGACTCGTACAAGAGAAAACGGTACTTACCCACAAACGGTACTAAACCTTCTTGTTCGTAATTAGTTAATTCCTCGCTACCATTGCAACGTCGTATTCCTTCCGATAAGTTCGCGCTGAAACTGCATTTGTGATGCTGGGACCAAAATTCACGGAACCAAACATTACGGCAATTCACCATTTTCCCGGGTAACTCTTTGTGCGGCACGTTACTTTCTGTTTGACCCTCGCATTCGTTATCCACTCTCGGGCGAAGATTTAAATAATAATTGTCGAAATCTGAAGATGAGAATTTCCGACGAATTAATCGGCGTAATGAACGGAGGTGTTGAGTTGTTCTTTATTTTCGTTATACTCTCGGATAAAAAAAGCTGAGAAAACGTCGTGTTTTCACGTCTTTCTGTCGCTCAAACCAACCGTGTAGTTTTGCGCAAATTTGTTTAGTCATTGCATAGTGAAATCTAGTAAACCGAACGTCAATTTAACAATCTCAGAAAAGACTCGGAATCGTTCGGGCCAATTTCAAGAATGTTATTCCACGTTAAAAAGTCGTGCGAATATTAACGTTGCTCATTGTGTACATCTAGCTAAATAAATAAAAAGATAAAATGAAATAAATAAAATGAAAATAAAATATCTTTGACATTTGAACACACCTTCAAGGGATGTTCGATGAGGTAAAATTGTAATCGCGCCCTCTGCCGCGAACTCTTGATGCCTTACCGGGTATACTTTTGCGCCCCATGAATCACTCCCCACCCACATAAAATGGCCCGTGCGATTGGCTCTGACAGTTGCTTGAAGAAGCTTTCTGTAAGATAAACGTGTCATTTCTTTTTTTTATTAGGGGAAGTTCAATATAATATCCATTTATGATCGATCAAATTGAAACATAAATGCAACGATCTTCTCCCTCGATAATCTTTGAACATTTCAATTCAAAGCAACCTTGTATATTGTGTTATGTTAATATAATTGTTTTAAATATTAATAATATAATCTATTATATCTTCCCAATTTTTTTTCATAAATGATGCCACATAACTAAACTGTTCAATATCAATTTGATTAAACAGTTTACTTTAATTTTTTGAAATTTTTGTGGTAGTGATGTGCCAGTCGAAGCGTTACTATAGACACTATAGAGAATTCATGAATTTTTCATATTTTTATCCGAACTGTATCCATTTAATATTCAACAGATGACCTCAACATTGATTAACGCTAGATATGCAAGAAGCGTCCAAAGGGCAGTGAGATCGATGATATGATAATTCAACTATCTATATGTATTTGTTGGCAGAAGCTTATTTTTTAAGGGATTCGCTTTCAGTTGATTCATTGCAAGACGTTCGTTTCTGCAACGGGCTAACTCGGGATGATGGTTGGCAACAAAGTAAGCCAGACATCAAATGCGATGCATTCGTTGACACCAATGGCAGGCGACCCGATATCACCGTATCGGTTTCTTTAAAGAATAGGGCATTGTTTCCAAAGGATCTGACCACGGAGTAGTGAAGTCGAAGGTACGTTCTGATATAAAGAAAACTACGTTAGACTACTCAGCGCTTACCTGAGGATCGTCGTCGAATTTCTAAAAGGGAGTCGTACCTCGTCGCGATGGCGTAGTATGCAGACATCAATTTTTATTTTTTATGAGCACAAATTCTTTCATTACCTTATATTGTCCTCGTCGACGAACAGAATGACGCCTCTGGCGTTGTGTTTCGAACTAAGACGATCGATTATTTTGTCGAAGTCTTCGTTCTTCGCGTTCCTTAAAATTTTCTCGCTCACTGCAACGCAGATGCCGTATTCAATCGACATAGAGATAAAACTGGCAATTCCCTGGAAAATATAGTACAGTCTCTGGTAGATAATACATTTTGTTTAACTTCTAACGCAGGGCAAATTGTGCCATATAATACTCGGAACGTGATAAACTCGAATCTTTGAGTCATGAAAACTCGATGGAAATTAAAATTTCGATCGGATTTGAAAATATATAAGTTTAATTACCTTCTCTCCGTAATCACCCTCGACTGCAACTGTGGAAACGTATTTCCATCCGAGTTGATCAATTATTTCCACCACCGCCTGTGCCTGGAAATTATCTGGCGGCACCACCCTACTAAAATATTCGAAGCGACTTTTGTCTGACAGCTCTATGGTCGTCGATGCGTAGCTTATTTGCGGTATCTGAGGACAAAGAAGCGATTATTCTTTTTTACCTTATTA